TTACCCACTTGCCAGCACACACATATACAGGAAGACTCACAGGTAAAACACAGCCATCTGCAAACAATGGTCCTGGTTAATAGGAGTTATCAAGATTCCAAACCACCATTAATGGCCCACACTTTGCATAATTACAATAGACCCTCAGAGTTATATTTTATATTTCTAGTTTTAAATACAAGAGTAGTATATTTATACAAATAGGATGATCACACTCAGTAGATTAAGCTTTGTAATGATACCTTACAAGAAACCTTTTGCATGAAGCATATTCCAGTTACATTATATTCACTTATCATATTTTTATAAAACCATATAGAGTGCACCACATCACACCCTCCACCTTGGGAGGTGTAGCAAGCTCCCCAGAAATGGGATGAGATGCTGCAGTCATATGCTGTGTCTGTTTGGCTGAGGGCATGGGGGAAGCTCCAACTAAGCTCTTTCCCAAAACCCCACTGCATAAGCTACTCTGGCAGTTCCTAGTGTACCCAGTTGTGTGCGCTGCTGTGAGATAGACTTGGCTCTTAAAACTTTCAAATTCAGTTATTATTTTGACATGCTGCCAACGTTTTCCTGAAGAATCCAAGAGAGAGAGAGGGGAAATGGCAATTTTAAACCATTTAGAACGCCGCCAAACCTGAATGGAATTTCATGGGACAAGTAAAGGCACATCCTAATCCCAGAGTTTTTCTCTGCCAGATTTAAATACCCAGAGGTGTTACAGCTTCTCAAAACAACCAACCAAACAAACTGGCAAGAATCTTCTACAATAGAAAAAGTGTTAGGCAACTTAAATGGAGGGGTTGTTACCAGCTTCCATTAAAATATCTTCATTCTCTGACGTGCGTTATTTCTTGGATTTTCTGTAAAAACAAAAAAAACCCAAACAAACAACCTCATGGAACTGAACTGAACTGAAACAGCACTAAACCTTTCCCTGATTCGGTGTTGCTCATTACACAGTAATAACATAAACATGTTCTCACCACCCTGCTGGCCTGAGGATCCAATTATCATTCCTTCTGTCTACTGTGAATTCCACCATACTACCAGTCTTGGCCAGAAGTCCCTTTGAACACAGTGGCCTTCTTTGAAGTATAAATATTCTACTGTAATAGAGCCACTTCAAAGGGGATGTATATGGGATAATACTGGAGGAGGATTTTACCTAATGCATCATGTGTGCAAAGTGGTTAAAGAAAGAGAAGGGTCAGCCTTCCTTCCATCCAACTGTAGTAAAAGGACCCTGATTGTCATTTAATTACATTTAGTACTATGCCATTCTTATTTTGGCCAAATCTGTTCCTATCAGTTTAAATGAAATTAGTGATTGATCCTGTTAATCAAATGTCTTGTGACAGTGCATGTGACAGCTTGTGCTTATAATGTCCATAACAGTGATTGATTGCAACTAAAACTTGTATTATTCAATCACCTTTATCATCGGCACATGCATTTGTCTTTGGCTTCCCCCACTCTCCATCCTTTTCTCATTTAAAAATTTTGCATTCTCTATTAAATGACAACGTTCTATAGGAAATGACTGAACTACAATACCAGCCTAAAGACCCCAACATTGATCAGAATAAAGGATGAAAGCTGTTAATTTATTTTTATACTAATGACTTGGTTCCAGAGGTTTTTAATAAGCTAAATGGCTGATCAAATTAGGCAGTGACTGAATTAGTGTTATTGCACTACAGCTGCAGAAGATCATTATTAACACCTCTTCCAATTCACCTATGTCAATGTTAGGGTTTCTCAGTACTCAAGCCTCTTGAGCTACTCTCCTTGAAGATGCTGATCTATAATAGTTTTCATAATTACATCTACAAGCAAGTCTCTTCCAGCCAGGAACTTTATGAACAGGTGAATACATTTTACACACAGTAATATATGTATTCAGTTGAGACATAGCTTTTATATTTTCATATGTGATCCTATGGGTCAAATTTTGCCTCTCCACATGACTACCCCCAAAACAGAGCTACATACAAGCAGCATTAGTGTGCACCCATAATCTTACTGGTAACACTGTTTGCATAGCCTTCCAAATGATCTGTTAAAATTGATTGGTAAGGTAATATTTAGTTGTGCTGATCATATCCTAGGAGGACCTTTGGATTGTCCCTGACAGCTCCTTTCTTTTAGATGTAACTGAATGAGGGCAGAAAACATCCACCCCACACACTCCCACTGCCTTTGGTTTTAACAGTGTGCACATATGCAAGCTGGAATGTGGCTTTGTGTGTTAGGTACATCCTGCTACAGTACTCTCATTGAGACTGAAAGTGCAGCACTGACATTTCTAGGTTTAACAGGTTCTGGATTTAGACAAGGCAAATAAACTGAAAATTGCAATTAAAACTTAAAAGGACAGTCAAGAACTGGATAGTTAATTTTTTTAAATCCTCCAACATTTGTGATACTCTTTTAGAAAAATACCATTTCCCTCTACTTGTGGAAAGCATTATGTTTTCCCACTCCACTGTCTCTTAGACCACAAGCCATATCTGATCTGCCAAGTTTGCTTCCCTGTTGTTTATAAGCATCATTGAGAATATCACCAATGAAGTTAGCAGAGTTCTAGAAATGCAATGTTCCATTAAGAACAGACATAAACCCAAGGTATTTTACAGTAGTAGTATTATTTGCTAACCGTATAACTCTAGAAAGTAGCAAAAGATATATAAACACGAGTCTGGGAAAACTAAAGGATTATACAAATTCATATAAAGTAATGTAGTAAATTCAGTCTTTACATTTGTTTTAATTATTTACAGTTCCCTCCAATACAGTTACTTACTGGGTCACATACACGTGACCTGAGTGGCCCCATCTTCCTGCTCGAACTGTCCATCATCCATTTCCCTTAACACACTATCGCTGCTATTGAATCCTGAGAAGCTTTCATATTGGGCAGATCCCTCCTTGATCCAACATGGTTTAGAAGGAGACAGATGAAACTCATCAGGTGGATGCCCACTTTCTATAGGGTGAGACGTAGCTGTGTCTAATCCAATACTTCTGCTAGAGACTTTGCCTTTCTCGTCACTTCTGAGCTGCCTTGTGGATTTTTTCTGAAACACAAGAGATGTTTGAGCACTGTGTTAAATAGAACAGGCAAAAAAATGAGTTAGAACCTGGATTTCAGAATAAACAGCTAAAAGGATTTAAAAGGTTCCACACCTAAAACATATAAATTTAATGTAAGGAGTAGTTGCAGAGGAGATTTATAGGACACCACAGGAATATTTTGGCTTGTTCCAGAATACAGTTGCCCTACATTACAAACGCCTTTGGAATATAGAAATGATAAATAAAGAATAAAACTTAAGAGAATTTATTCAGTTTGAGAAAGAAGAAAGTAATTGCCTCAGATCAAAAGGCAAGGAAAGACACTGTATAGGACCAAGGTTAGAGCAAGCACAGGACCCATGTTAACAGAAAGTAGATGTTATATTATTTAGCACTTATATAGCACTTTACAGATTCAGAGCCATTTACAAACATTAACCAACTATTTCTCATTTCACCCCTGTGAATAGGCATAATTATTTCCATTTTGTAGGTGAGGAAACTGAGGCATGGCTAGGTTAAATGAGTTGGCCAAGGTCACACAAAGTCAGTGTCAGAGCCAAGATGAGACCACAGGAGTTCCTGACCCCTTGTGCCATTCTCAGACCATTAGACAGCATTAACTCTCTCTTATACAGTTTGAACTTTTTCCTGCACCCCTTCTGAAACTATTAAAAAATGTCCCTTTTGGCTAAAGGAAAGGGATGTGGAGGTGGTTGATACATGACAGACTGCGCATTAAGACTAAAGGGAAGTAGTGGTCCCTGGAGAAAGAGAAGGGAAATAGATTTTGTTTGGCTGCCTCAGTGAGGTGGTGGTGAGGCCTGCACAAAAGGAAGGAAGGAAGTCAAATAAAACTTTGTGTATGGGTCAGTGTCAGAGCTTTATCGTTCAGGGTTGCTTTTCTGACTTAGTTGCACCGTCCTTTGAACCATTTGTTGAGGGAAACAAATGTTATAACTATCATTAGACGAAAAACATTAAACTAATATGATCCTGTAACCCAAGAGGCCATTGAAATATTATACCTCTTCAGGTAAAGTAAGGAAATCATGGGCCAGACAAAACTCTACCATCCCATCATAAAGCCTGAAGTGGAGGAGAGAGGAAATGGACAGTTCCTAATTAATGCTTTCTTCGGGGGGCTTGTGGGGCCACAGAACAAGTTTGGGGCATTTCCCCCAAAACAGTGCAGATCCTTGCTGCTTGCCACTGAGAAAAGTAAGCTGCATATACCAGCTGCTACCTGGGGTCAGGCTTCTATACCCTGCGCAGTAGAAGGGAGGATAGGGGCTGATATTTACAGTGTTGCCAACTCCTGATTTTTATTATGAATGCTGTGATATTTGGTGTTTTTCTTAAAGCCCCTGCTGCTAGAATCATGTTATTACCTGGCAATCTCAACTTTCTTAGAAAACAAAAATAAAGTGCATTTCTAGCCCTTATAGTTGCAGAGAAAAGCTTAAAGCTTGTGAACCCTAAAGATCCCACTATGAGAAAGCAAATAAAAAGAACCTAAAAATTATGATTTTAAAATCTCATGATTTTTAAGCCAATCTCATTGTTTCTGGAGCTTGACTCATTATATTTAAATGTTGGGATAGGCAATACTGAGGCTATTTATTTACTTTGTGTCATTCAACCAGTTAGACTGAAGTAACCTAGTCAGTTTCACTTTCTGACTCTCATGTGCTGCAATGTTTGAGCCGCAAATGCTTTAGGGGAATGTTTAGACCCAAACAAAAAATGGTTTCCATCATAATTTTATTTTTAAACAACAAACAATTCTCTTGTTTTTATAAAACCTACATTTTGGGCCTAAAGAGGTTTCTTGAAAAACAACAGCTTCAACATAATGCAAACTTCACAACAGCCATCAGAAAAGAGACATAGTCAGGAATAAAATACAAGTCAAAGTGTAATCCTCAGTACCATGGAAGTCACCCAGGTCTTGCTAAGCAAAAAGAAACATTAATTTGCCAACATTTAATACCTCACGTAGATCAGATTATAACTAGCCCATGCAGGGATCATCGTAACGAGAATTTATTCATTAAGGATTTCTAGGGCAGAAGTTAAAAATGGAGAATGCTTCAGATCTCAATAACTGAGTTTATACCTGAAATCTATCTGCATAGTACACAGCTTGTGAGACAGACTACATTAGACAGGCAGAATTAGTAAGCATATGGATTTCATCCATTAAATGGAGGAATATAGAGTTAAGAATTTTTTGGTTGCTAAACCATAGTCATTTTGTTGAAATGACTTATCCTTTATGACATTTTGTCTCTTTAGTCAAGTTTAAGATTTAGACAAAAAATCATGTTATAAATGGAAAAACAGGAAAAGTTTAAAAAATGCTATTCAGCTCCAGACTGAACCACTTACTCATTCCACACTGAAATGACCTCAGTGCATTGAGATTTCCTGCTAGAGAAACAAAACATTCATCAGTGTTAGAAAGGGCATTTGTATTTAGATACTGAGGTCTTTTATGTTGTAAATTCGCAGGTCCCATATGACAGTAGGTAGATACACATCAACTATTCCTTATATACAGACTTCCTGTACATTAATATTTAAGTCAAGGAATTCAGATTACAGTGAAATAAAAGAATGGCTACAGCACAACTTATCCTTATGGTTCTTTAACTCAAATGATGTAAAGCTCATCCAACTGCTGATCGTCACAAGATTAGGTGAAACAGAGAATTTAAACGGGTGGGTACAAATGTCTCCTGTCTTGAACTTCGAGCACTCTTACAAGATTGATTAGTCACTCAGATTATTTTTAACAAACTATCGTTTACTTGGATTTTAAACCTCTCACAGTGGGAACCTGTCTTAATTGTTCTGTAATTGCTATATAGGTGGTGGTGGAGATAATAATAATTAATAATTAGTAGTAGTGTGTGTGGTGCAATACAGATATACAGGAAGACAAGGTCCCTCAGAGGAGATTTAAAATCCAATTTATACATAATACAGAAAAAAAAACCCACAGGGAAAGGAAAACATCAGAAAAGTCACATAGTTTGGTTTGTTAACAGTTAACACTGATTTGGAACTAACAAGATGTCATTTAAAAAAATTTAATGAGATAAATCATTAAGAATTTAATGTCAGGCATGAGAAGAGTAAATAACAGGATTTGAAGAATATAACTGAGGACAGTTGGTGTCCTGGAGGAAGGAAACTGTTCCAGGCAAAGGGGCAGTGTGAAAAAAGTTGCAAAGTAACAAGCTGGAGACAAAAGACAAAGGGTGCATTAAAACCTGAGGTGCTGGCAAAATCTAAGAGGAGGAATAGGTTGAAGGTTGCTGAGATGTAGGCAAGGGCAACAGCATACAGAGTCTTGAAGGCAAGGAGTTCATACTTTGAGTAAAGAGACAAGAAAGCAGTGAAAGGATTTAAAAAATGCAAGTATGTGATGAAGAGAATGTGACATGACTGGAGATAACTATTTGAGCTGTACATATTTATTAAATTGGAAAGGGAGGGACAAGAGGCAGGAAAGTCATTGAGAGGAGGAAGAAGGGGAGGTGAGTTAATACCTTTTTTATTGGACCAACTTCTGTTGGTGAGAGAGACAAGCTTTTGAGTTTACACAGAGCTCTTCTTCAGATCTGGGAGGAGGTCTGAGAGGAGGAAGTTATGCTAGTCTAGGCAAGAGATAATCTGGACATGAACCAGGAACAGAGAGGGAGTGGGAGATTAGTACAGGATGTGGTGACAGCTTGGATGTGAGGAGAGGACAAGGAGGGTTCAAATATGACTTCAAGGTGGTGAGCCTGAGATTCTGGGAGGCTAATGGAGTTGTCAACACAGATGGACAAAGGGAAGATGTCCTTA